TTGAAAAAAAAAAAAAAAAAAAAAAAAAAAAAACATAAATTTTATAAAAAAATATATGTAAACTTATTTAAATTCCATATTTAATAAATCTTAATTAAAAATATTAAAAAAAAGTTATTACAATTTAAAGAGATAAAAGAAAATAAGATATATATATATATATATATATATATATATGTTGTATATAAAATAAGCACTTTTAAAATATTAATGGGAAAATTAACTAAATGGGAACAAATGTGTCACAAAAAAATACTTATTTTTATTTTTCTTTGCTTATAAAAAATAAAATAGAGAAATGATATAAGATATGAACTACTCAATACTTTTTTCACATTTTAAAGAATATGCGTTAAGCAATATAGAAATTTTATATTGTAAAACAAAAATTGGGAGTAAATTTTCATCTCTAAATTATAATGAAAACTTCAGTAAAATAAAACTATTGAAAAATAATTACTCAACATTGGGACAGCTAATTAAAAGAAAGAAAAATATTGTAAATTTGAATACTAATAAAAATTTGAAATGCTACAAGAGAGTAAATATAAAAAAAATATTAAAGAATAACAAAAAAGAGGAAGGCACATATGAAAAAAATAATACAAAAAGTGAGGAGTTAAATGAAGTAAATAAAAAATATGATTTTTCACAAAATCATTTTGTTCATTTAAGAGGCTACAGTGCTGAACAAAAAGAAGACAAAAATAAAGTAACAAATGTAGTAGGAAAAAACATTAATTTACAAAATAATAATGAAGAAAGTATCCTAAATAATGAGAAAATAAATGAATATAATTTAAATAATTTACATGAAAAAAATTATATACATAATGAAAATATAAAAGACGCAGTTGATGAATTATTTTACACAAAGGAAAAAAAAAAATACTTAATGGACAGAATTATATTTCGAAATAATTATGACTATATGTATTTGATTGATAAATACGAAGAATTTAAAATAAATGATGAAAATAACTTTTACAATTCTAATTATGATATGAAAAACTCAATTAAATATATTAAAGAAAATAATAATCAATATAATGAAAATAATAGTGAAATAAATGGTAATGAAAATAATAGTGAAATAAATTGTAATGAAAATAATAATGAAATAAATTGTAATGAAAATAATGATGAAATAAATTGTAATGAAAATTATAATAAAATGGTGAAAGGTAAGAATGATGAATATTATTATTTTCACGAAGTTGAGAATGAAAACAATGAAAATAATATAAATATGCAATTTAAGTATTTAAATAATAATTTAAATATATCAATATTTTCAGAAATAGGAAAAAAAGATATATTAGAAAATTGCAAAAAGAAAAAAAATATGCAAAACGAAATAAACAAAAATAGTGATGCGAAAAATATTTTTAATAATGATATTTATTTTTGGTTAAAAAGAAAAGTTCATCGATCAGTTGATTGGAAGTTAATACCTTTTAATCAAAATAAAAATGATGATATAATAGATGTTACAGAATTGAATTGTATAATTCAAGGAAATTCAAATGGAATACCTGTTAATTCATTAGAAAATGATAATTCAAATAGTGAAAATAATTTAAACAAAAAAAAAAATGAAACAGAAAAAGATAAAAATCATATGAAATGTGATAAAAATGTTTTAAATGTTAAATGTGATAATAGTGACAAAAAATATAATGAAAAATCGGAATTTTTAATAAATAATGATGGAAATAATGAAATGTTTGAAATTAATAACAAAAATACTATAAATGGAGAAAATAATATTAATAAGAACAAATTGACTTATTTACAAAAAAAAATTGCACCATCTCATTTTTTGAAAAAATTAAATATAAATATATTGGAAGACAATAATAATGTCCAAAATAAAGTTCAAGATAAAGAAAAAGAAAATATTGAAAAAATTAGAAAAATAAAAGAGGAAGAAAAGGAGAGAATAACAAATATTTTTTTAAATAACTCCGAAATTTTACAACCAACATATGAAGAACAAAAAATTTTTGAAAAGGAAAAAATGAATAATATGGAAGGTAATGAGACTAAAAAAACAAGCAATTTTGAAAGTTGTGAAAATAAACAAATGAATAATTTGAAAAGTGAAAAAAATAATGATATAATTTTAATTGATGAGTTTGAAAATATGAAAGATGAATATAATATGAATAATATAGATGATAAAACCTATGAAGGAATAGTAGATAATAGTAAAAATGTGTTCAAAAAATTAAAAGAAAATTATGAAATGTTCAAAAAAGAAAAAATGTCTCCATATATATTAGAACATTGTGAAAAATATATAAATTATTATTATGGCATTGAGAAAGAAGAAAAAATAAAAGAAATGAAAAAATATGCTGACTTAAAATTTTATGATGTAATTAAAGACGATAAATTTACAATAAACGATTTTAATATGCTAATAAAAAGTAAAATCATATTTAATAAAGAAGAAGAAGCATTTAACTATTTTAATTTATTAAAGAAATATGATTTTAAAATAAATGTTGAAACATATAATAGTTTAATGTATACATGTGTTGTTCAAAAAAATTCTAAATTAAGTAGATTAATATATCTACAGATGATAAAAGATTTATTTACTCCAAATAAAAATACTTTTTGCATTTTGATTAAAGCACATATATTAGACAATGATATTAAAAGTGCTTTTCACTTATATAGAAAAATGATTAAAGAAGAAATAGAAGTGGATTTACCAATTTATTCTACCTTAATAGATGGATTAATAAAACATAAATTGTATAAAAGAGCGGAACAATTTTTTAATTATATTGTAACTTATAAAAATGTTGTACCTGATGAAATTCTATACACTATTATGATTAAAAATTGCTCTTATAATGGAGAAGCAGAAAAATGTTTAAATTTTTATGAAACAATACTTTCTAATAATTTAAGAGTAACAGATTTAACGTTAATAGAAATAATTAATTGCTTATCTAAAAGAAATGATTATTTTCATAAAGTTTTTCATTTTTATAATATTTATTTAGCTAATGATATGAAAATAAATCGCCGTTTAATGTTGTATATGATAATTGCTTGTTCTAACAATGGTAATATAAAAAGATTAAAAGAAATTTTAAAAACGATGAATAAACATAAAATTAAAATAACTAATGAAATGTATTGCTATATTATCAGAACATTTGCAAATAATTGTAAAAATAAAAATATAACACTAAGTGAAAAAAACAATAACATTAAATATGCTTGGAAGATAATATATGATCTCTTAAAAAATAATAAGATTAATAACAGTTATAATACAGATAGTAATAATAATATTAATGGTATTAATAAAAATAATAATGAATTAAATAATGAATCTACTAATCAGTTTAATGGCGCTATTATTAACGAAAGCAATAATATAAACACAAAAATGTTAAATAGTATTGTTCTATTATATATTAATTGTGACTATTATGAATATTCTATTAATATGTTAAAGTATTATTCATATTTTAATTGTATCCCAGATTATTATACTTTTAAAATATTATTTAAGATGTTATCTTTTAAATTAAAAGATTATGGAAAAGTTATTTGTTTATATAATTATATGATAAATAATACCAATATAAAATCAGATGAATATACTTTTAATATAGTTTTAAACGCAGCTATTAAAACAAAATCATCAAAACATACTCTATTTATTTTACGCCATATGTTTGCAGCTAAAATATATCCAACACCTAAAATGATAAAAAAATTATTTCATGTTGGAAGGCATATAACAGAAATACAATTATTAATTAACAGTATGATAAATCAACAAAAAAAAGAAGTATATGAAGAAAATTTAAAAGAAAACCAATTAATTCAACTTAATATTGACGAATATGAATTAAATTTATTTAAGGAAGGAAGAACATTTAAAACAAAAACAGAACTAGATCAAGTAAGAGAACAGTTTTTCAAGAAAAAACAAAGAATTGAAAAAGAAAAAAGAATGTCAAAAAATAAAAAATCTTCTAACTGGTTACCTTATGGTCAATATCTTCAAAATAAAAAAAAAGGAGGCGAAGCATATGCAAAAAAAGTGGATAAACCAAAACCATTCTTTTTTGATTTAAAATAATATGTATATATAGGAAATAAAAAATAAAAATTAAAAAAAATGTTATACTAAACAAAAAAGAAAACAAATATCATATCTTTAAAATAAAAAAAATTCATAATTTCATATTTGTTTATATATATATATATATATATATAATTTAGATATGATAAAATTTTTGTAAATTCACCTTACTAGATTTTTTATTAATATTATTGGTTATTTTTAATTTTCTATTGTATTTCAATTTTTTTTTATTATTAATGTAATTATATTTTCTTATTTTATTTAATTAAAATCCTTTATTTTTTGTTTTTTTTTTTTTTTTTTTCTCATATGTATAAATTATATATAAAACTTAAAAGTATTACATTCTACATAAATATTTTAAATTATTTTTTATTTTAAAAATTTTTAAAGACAAAAATAATTTTATTTTAATATTTAAGAAAATTTAGTTAAAGAAAAAAATATTAAAAATATAAATTATTTTCTTTTTTTCTATTAAAAAAAAAAAAAAAAAAAAAAAAACACAAAAAAAGGAACATTTAAAATAAAGAGAAATAATGGAAGTAAAATTTTATGTTAAATGCAAAATATTTTAAATTAATTATGTATGATTTGATTTTTTTTAATTAATTTATATTAATATCATTTAATAAATTATGATCTAATAAGTTTATTAAATAAGAATTTAAAATGTTAATTATGGAAATAAGTAAAAACATAGCTACAATTAAGTTATCATCGGTATAAAATAAGATAAAAAATTTTAAAAGACATAACACAACGTCCATATATAGTAATTTCCTAAAAAAGAAAAAAAAAAAAGATTTATGCATAAATTTATTTTTTTTTTTTTATCTTCCATTTTACTTTGTTTGTTTTTTAATATTTTTATCATTACCATACAAAAAACACTATTGTAAAACTAATATGAGAATAAATATTATGAGCTGATAAAAATTTCTGAAAAAAAAAAAATTTTAAATAAATATAAGATATTAAATTTTAAAAATATAGTATATAATTAAGCATTATATATATTATTATCTAGAAACAGTTAAATAAAAAAAAAAAAAAAAAAAACTTACAACTTTCATTATATTAAGTATATGAAAGAAGGATAAAAAATAGGACGTATTAGCTATAAATTGCACATATGAAGGCATTAAGGCTTTTTCATAATTTATTTTATTATTGTTTCTATTTTTCTTTATTTTTATTTTAATAATATTTTTTTTTTTTTTTTCGCTATATTTATTAATCGAATCATATTTCATTTGAAATTTTTTTATTTCATAATCATTATGATAATCCTCTTTATAAAAAAAACACCAACTATTGTAATTTGTATATTTATTCAAAAATATATTTGATTTATTTTCATTTAAAGTTTCATGGTTTTCTCTTAATGTTAAAGTTTGTAAAAAATCTAAAAAAGAAAAATAATGAAATATGATAAATATATTAATACATATATATACTCATTAGAAAAGCTCATAAAAGCAATAAGAATAAAAAATAAATATTCATAAATTTTACTAAAAATATTTATTTTCACAATCATGGATTATTTTAATTTTTTAATTTTAAATGAATTTTTTTTATTAACTTACTTTTTAATGTTTCTTGTACACTATGATAAGAAGAAGATAGAAAATCTTTTATATAAAATGATGTCTTTTTAAGCGAATTTGAAAAAGATTTTTTATATATTTTTATCAATGATTGAATAATAATTATTGAAAATTTTATTATAACAAAAAAATGAATCAAATAATATATGTAAATAAATAAACTAACAATAAATAAATTTTTGCTAAAATCATATAAATAAAATAAGAACAGTAAATCACAAAAAATATTTAATTGATTAATTAACCCTGATATTGTTAAAAAAATATCAAATTTACTATTATTAATTGTGTAATTGTTATTTTCATATTGAATATATTTTAATAATTCAACATTAATAAAATCGTTTATATTCTTTAATTCGTCTAAACAATAGTTCCTTTCTTCAAATACTTTCGTTTCATTTATCGAAACATTTTCATTTTCTTCCATATTAGTGACATAGTACTTTTCACTAGAAAATAATTTTTCTCCTTCATTTTTAGCTTTATATTTATTTTCACTCTTTTTTTTATCTTTTCCGTTTTTATTTTTTTTTAAACTATCAGTTTTTTGTGAAGTAAGAAAATTTTCATAAATTCTTTTTCTAATCTCTTTTAAGTTGTATTTTTTTACTAAATCATACTTAATAATATTACTTATAAATATATCAACGTAAAAAAAAACAAATATGTAAATATATATTATCAATGATATTGGTTTAGTTAATCCAGTTTTATTACTATTTAATAATAATATAATAATAGTAATGTAAACTGAAAAAAATAAAAAAATAATTAATAAATAAGATATACAAATTTTTATAAAATATTTCTTATTTAAAATAAAAGGACAAGAACAAGTTTTCATTAAACTATTATTTAAACCAAGTTCAATTATTTCTGTTTCTGTTAGTACTTGAGAAATTAATGAATTGTTCATTTTATTAAAAAAAAAAAAAAGTAAAATTATATAAAATAAAAAGTATAAAAATAAAAAATAAATTTTTAATTACAAAAAAAATAAAAAATTTTTAACCATGAAATTATTTGAAAATTATTTTTTAAAATAGAAAAAAAAAAAAAATTAAAAAAAAAAATAAAATAAATAAATTTATTTATCTTATTTAAAAAATTGCAATTCAAAAAATTAAATTTATCCATTTTTCATATAACTTATATAGAGATATTTATAAAAGTTTTTTTTTTTCAGTAAATAAAAATATTAAAAGGAGACTTAAAATTTTTTTCTTATTTTGTAGATATGGATTATATATATATAATCATTAACTTTACATACAATAAATATTTTATGAATTTTTTCGCATATTAAAAGAAAGGTTGTAAATTATGAAAATAGGAAGTATTTTTTTTCAAGATAAAACAATATTTAGTAATTAAAAATGGAATGGATACATTAAAAAAAAAGAAATGCAGAAGGAATTAAATATTAAATTTTTCATTCCTATAATTTTTATAAGGTTATTTCTATGATAATTATACTAAGTAGACAAGATAAAAAGATATATTTTATATTTTACTAAATGGAGTTTATTCTTATTACATAATGTGATACTTATATTATCATGAATATTATATATATGTAAACCAATGAACTTTGCGAGAATTTTATATTTTGTTTGTATTAATTTAAAATTAAATTTTTTTCATAAAAATAAAATTAGTTCCTTAAATATGGTATATTCTTGTATTCTTTTTACAGTTTTTTTTCTTTTTGTTGCACATTCATAAATCTATATTAGATATATGTTTAATGAAGATATTCATATAAATTATTAAGATGAAATAAAAAGTTAAGCATTAATTATTAAATTTATTTTGTATACTTTATATTGTAATTATGTATTTTTTTTTTTTTTTAATAATAAATGATTCTTTATTCTTTTCGTAATATTGAAATTAATAATATAGCTAAATTAATAAAACATCCTTTTATCTTCTTTTCTATTTGCCTTATATAATTTCTTTTCTATTCTCTTAACTCATTTTAAAAAGAATTTTTTATAAATTAAACGTTTTATTTATTTAGAGAATTTTGTTATTCTAGAAATAAATTCATATAGTTGTTTTCTGTGATTTCAAATTTCACATAACTATAAAAATAATACAAAAATGAAACTTCCATTTTTATTTTTATTATCCTCATTAAATTTTAAATTGAAATTCTTTGTATAGTGATAAAAACTGATAAAAATATATACATTATTATTAGAGAATTAAGGTATTTTTATTTTTTATGGCTTTTGTAAATGAAAAATGTGAAAAAAAATCTTGCCGTTAATCTAATTCTACGATTAATTAAAATTTTCAAAGAAATGCTATTTTTTTTTTTTTTTTTATTTTGATAACTTTTTATATATATATAATGATATATTTTTTGAAATACTAACTGCAACGTCTCATAATATTTAATTAGGACAATTTGATAAGGAATAAAGAGAAGAAAAAATTTTAAATCAATAAACTTTTTAATGCATACATCTTTTTTTTTTTTTTTAAATAAAAATAGAATATCCATTTTAACATTTTTTATTTTATATTACCAATTATTTAATGATTTTATTTTTTATAATACGTTTTTTTAAATAAAAAAAAAATTAAAAAATAATAAAAATCTATTATATTTTTTTTGTTATTGTACGTATTTTTTTTTTTTTATGAATACTAATATGCATAATTATATTTATATTTATATTTATTTTTTTTTTAAATAAATATAGGAGCATTCCTAGAAATTTAATAATCTTGTTAACAATAAAAAAATTAATTCAAAATTTAATTCGCAGTTCATGTTTTTTTTATAAAAATCATGATATATATGTCATATAAATGGTGTATAAAATTATTTCCTTGCTCTTTATTTTTTAATTTTTAGCCTTTCATATTATTATACATGATATTAATCTTATATATATATATATATATATATATATATATAATAATAATAATAATAATAAATCTTTTTTTGTGTTAAGCAATTCATATATTTTTTACTTTTTGTTTATTTTATTTTTTTTTTTTCTTTATATTCTGAGTGCTTGCACACAGTTTCTTAAATATGCTATTCTTATTACAAAAAATTATATTTTTCTCTTTTATTAACAGTTCATAAAAATGCATAATGTAGAACTGGAAAAAATAAAAAATTGTAATGACAAAAAGGAGGAAGTGCTTACAATTTCGAGATATTTATTAAAAGAATATGGTGATGGTAAAGCAAATAAAAAAGATGTCATGAGAAATTTGAGAAAAAGAATATATAATCACGAAAACTTTGAAGATATTTATAAAAAATTAAAAGAAATTCATGGAAATAGTGGAATATGCACACGACAATGGAAAGAAGGAAGTTTTGCTTTTAAATGCTATAATTGTGAAGGAGATCCTACATGCGCTATATGCGCAAAATGCTTTTTTGCATCAAATCATAAAAATCATATTTACAGATTAACACATACTAGTGGAGGTTGTTGTGACTGTGGGGATACTTCATGGAATATTAAAGGATCTTGTTTTGATCATAGGGGAATAAATGAAGAAAATTTAATTGATAAATGTATATTAAATAGTGTTGTAAAAAATAGGATTAAGGAAGATTTAGAAAACTTAGTGGGTACCTTATTTAAGGAAATTATTTTAAAAGATGGTTATTTTTTATCTCTTGTAAATGCTGATTATATTGAATATGCCTTTGAATTTTTTAAAGATTTAGGTATTACTAGTTATTTATTTAGACAAATAATATGTGAAGTATTTACAGGAGCAAAAATAGATTTCTTAATAAATTTTCATTATTGTTTTTATGGAGGAATTCAAAAATCTTTATACTCTTTATATTTATCTTTATTTGTCCATCCATATTTTAAACAAAGATTTGCCTTCAAGCTAGCTAAGCATTACAGCTTAGTTGTACGTGTAGTTGATGATAGAATATATAATGATAATAATTTAAATGGTTTAAGTGTTCAAGTTCTAACTGTCCCTGAAATAGCATATACTCTAGTTATAAATAACTTTTTAAATGATTTAATAAAACTTATCGAAAATTTTTGCGTATATAACGATTTAACGAAATGTGTTATGCATAAAAATTTTTTGAGATCTGATATTGAAATTATTATTCGCATCTGTGTTGATTTAAAATATTTATTATATCACAATGAAGTAATTAAAATCATACTATTTAATAAATATATAATAAAAAAAATTTTGAATTTGTTAACTCTCTTACACAGAATGAATTCACAAGTACGCTACACTAAAACACACATAATTTATGAAGATTTATCTAGCTCCTATTCTATAACTATTGAAAATTATCTACTTCGTGTATTTGAACCATTATCAAACTTTTGTAAAAGAGAACAAAATGCGAATTTTAGAAATCTATTTTTATTGTATCAACTTACCATAGAAAATATATGTTCACTTAATTTATTTCCTTATAATGATGATTCTGGAGATCAGCATGTAAATAAGAAAAAGAAAAGTAAAAAATATTTAAATAATATTAAAAAAGAAAAGACAAATATATCAATAAATAAAGAAGTAGATATATTTAAAAAAAATGATGAAAATGATAAAATTAATAATAATAATAATAATAATAATAATAATAATAATAATAATAGTGAAATAGATAAAAATATAGCAAATAATGATATACGAAAAAATGAAGAGAAAAATAATGATGATAAAAATAGTACCAACGAAAATAATGATGACAAAAATAGTAATAACAAAAATAATGATAGTAACAAATTTAAGGACGAAAAAAGGAAGAAAAGATTTAAGCATTTAAGATCCTTACATTCTCCATTAGTACGATTTTTTATTATGATTCTAAACTTTGATATTGTCAAACGCTGTATTGATGATATATATTGGTATAAATATATATATTTAAAGAAAATGGAAGAAAACTATAGTAAATTAAAAGGAAATAACAATAATAATGAGAGTAACGTAAAAACTAGCGAAAATGCTAATAGTAGTTTTAGAAATAATAATATTTCTTTTAATGATAATTCAAATAATTCTATATTTATTATAAAAGAATATATAAAAGACTTTTATTCCTTAGAAAAATATAAAATTGAAACAATAAATAAAAGAAAAATATTACAACAAAGGTATGAAGAAGATGGAAATAAAATAAAAATAAAATTATTTAATTACAAACCATTTTTAAATTACTGTGATGATAAAAAAAATACAGGAATAGCCAATTATTTAAAAGAACATAAAAATTTAGAAGAATGTTACTTTAAATGGATTATCAATTCTAACAATTCAAAAGAAAAAGAAAAAGAAAAGGAAAAGGAAAACAATAAAATTATTTTTAGAAGAAGTATACAAGAAAAGAAAGTAAAAGCAAAATGTAAAAATGTCTTTATAGAAAAAAAGGTAAATATTAAAAATTTAGAATTTAATGAATTTTTAGAAATAAAATATGATAAGGAGAAACATCATATATATTTAAATCCATTATATATAGATTTATATATGAGAGATGTATTTGAATTTATGAACTTATTTAAATATAAATTGTTAAAATATATACTTTTTATAAATGTTAATATTTTAACTTTTATTTATGAAATTAAATATGGATATTGGGTAAGAAATGGACCTCAAATGATATTTCAGGTAAATGAATATGAAAATTCTTCTTTTTTTCAAAATGATTTGATAGGAATTCAATTTTCGATGATAATGATGAACATATTACCATTGTATGAAAATCAAAGAGTAAAAATGGATGATGATATTTTAAAGCATTTTAAAAAAATATATAGTGAAAGTTTAAGTACAAATCATATAGAAGACCTAGAACAGTCTAATGATCTATTAAATTTAAATAACAATGAAGTGGATTCTAATGAAAAAGAAATAGATTTAGTAAATACAAATGTAGAGTATGTTGCAAGTTACGATACAAATTCAAAGAATCAGGTTAATATGAATACAGAAGAGTCTTACTATACAAATAAAATAGAATATATAGAAAATCATGATGAATTAATTGAAAATTATAGTAAAATGAATGAAGATATATTAATATATAATAAGAAAAAATTTTATAGTAGTAATGAGGATGATGATTTCCTTCATATATTTTTGGGGAATAGTAGTACTGATGGAGTCAATATTGATAACAATATAAATGATTTTTTATTAACAAAAAATGACAAAAAAATTGATTTTAAATCATTTTATAATTTTTTAAGTAGTTATACAAATAATAAATCAAGTAAAACAATAACGGAATCAAAAATAAAAGAAAAAATTAAATGTGATAGAAGTAGTATATCTGGAGATGATAAAAATAATATGAATAATGATATTATTAATAATAAATTGAATCTTTATAATAATAGTGGAATAAATGAAGAAAATAATAATAATAATACTAATACTAATAATATTAATAGCGATAATAATAATATGAATATTAATAACAATAGCAATAATATGAATAATATTAATAATAATGATAAGGATAGTAATAATATTAGTTATAATAATAATTATGATAACAGGAGTAATGATATAAATAGTTTTTGTAACGATAATAATAATATTGAAAATAATTCCAATAACGATGATAATAATAATTCTAATAGTGATAATAGTGTTAAGGATATTAAAAATGAAAACAATGATTCATTTGATTCTATAAATTATAAAAAATTAGAATGGAATGATTACTTGAAATTATTTATTGATTTAGAAATAAAAAATCCTTTCGTAATTTTATATCAATTAATATTTAAAAATTTTCGAATGAATTTAAATTTAAGAAAATTAAGTGACATTTATTTGGAAATACAAATACATCATATAAAAATGGTATATAGAATATTTAATGATATATATTCTAATAAATTAAATATAGATTCAAGAAAAATAGACCATGTTTTTTATTTTCAATTTTTTTATGATTTACTTATTAGAATATTTAATGAGTTATATTATTTTGAATCTAGTAACATTCCAAGAAAAACCTCATATGAGAAATATAAAGAAAGAGGTAAATATCATGTGAAAAAAATAATGATTCAGTTATTAGCATCAAAAGATTTTCAATATTTTCAATTAGAAGATTTTTTTCCTAAGCAATTTAGGCATCATCCAAGTTTTTATGAACTAGTTAATAAATATGGATACACAACTCATATGCCTAGAAGTAATGTAAATTTGATTAAATTAAATAAAAGTTCGTGGTTTTTATATGATGCTTTTTGGCCTATTTCTCCATATAAAGATTTTCAATCTGCTAATGAAAAATGCATAAAAGAAGAAAATTCTTCTTATATCGGTTGTTCAAGAGAAGAAGACAAGGAATACATGAATTTCTCATTCAGAAAAATTCAAAACTTACTATTTTATACTTTTAAAAATAGTTGCTTAGTTTCTGTACTATTGACTATTTTTATTATTAACGAAGAGTTTCAAAAAAAAATAGAGCTCAAGAGTAAAAATGATATTAAATCTTATAAAAATGAAGAAAACATTACTAATGACAAAAAGAGTAACAGTATAGTATCAGCGCAAAATAATGACACTAATAATTCTCATGTTAATTCTTCTAACAATTTATCTAATCAAAGTGCTTTTTCTGATACTTCTGTTTTAAATGATTTAGATTTATATAATTTATTAAATCAAAACAGTAATAATAATAACGATGATAACAATAGCCATCTTAATACTAACGATAGTAACAATAATAATCAAATGGATTCCAACAATGATAATTTAAATAACAATCAAAATTCAATCAATATTAATAATGTTATAAATCCTTCTAATGCAAATAACGAAATTGTTTTAAGTAATAACAGTAATACTGCAAATAGTAATAACACATATATAATTGTAGATCAAAACGGAGACAATGAAACATTATTTGCTGAAATTTTAATAAACAGAAATCCCAACAATTCTATAAATATGGAAATAGTAAATGTTACAGATAATCATTTAGGTGATGATAATGCTAATAGAAATTACAGGCATTTAAATGCCGATGGATTGTCTGAATTGATTCGAAGTCTAATTAATGACAATAACATTATTAATAATGTAATTGATGAAACACTTTTAAATAATAATTCTAATGTTTCAAATAATGATGATTTAAGAAACGAAGAAACAAGAAATGCTAATAATAACATTTCTTTTGATGAATATTCATCAGGTGATGAATTTAATATAATTGAATCAGAAAATTCGAACACTGTAAGAATAAATTTATTTGGTAGAAGAAATGGATTATATGATTTAAATATAATTTCAGATACGAATGAAATGATTGCTAATCCAAATAATTCTAATCTAAATAATACAATAGATATCTTAATAAAAATAATAAAAATTTTAAGTATTATTATTGATTCTACGCATCCATTTAAAGAATTAAATGGGTTTTATTATTCTAATTGTAAAGATTATTGGGATGAAGATGATGACTTGGATTCATATATGGATTATGATTCTCATTCAGTTAGCGACGAGGAAGAAAAAGAAAAATATAGGAAAAATTCGATTGAAACAAAAAATGATACTATAAATAATAATAATAATAGTATAAATTTATCGTATGAAGAGCTACACAATAAAAAAAAAGATAATGTAGAAATAGAAAATGAAAAAGAAGAAGAATTAAAAATAAATGATGTAAATAATGAATATTATTCTAATTTATCTAAATTAAGCGGTAATAACTCTAAGAATGAAAATAGTAATAATAATAATAATTATTTGAATGATAATAAATTGTACGATAAAATGAAAACATCAAAAGAAAATTCAAGTTTTAATGATGAAGATAATTATATATTTGATAATATAAGCTTGATAAAAAAAATAAATTATAGGAAGCAAAATAATAATTGTAATCCGTTAAATGGAAAAAATCAGTGCATATCAAAAAAAAAGGATAACAAAAATAATAAGAAAAAAGGTTTTTACGTATTAAATAAAATAGCGGTTCATAATTTTATAAGCTGTATTAACAACATAAATGCAAATGAAGATAAATGTTTTTTAAAAGTAAGGAATACAATAATAAGTAGATTAAAAAAAATATTTTCAGAAAATTATGATTGCAAAAATATTAATAATAACAATGAATTTATAGAAATAGCAAAAAAGAAACAACAAGATTTATTGCAAAATATGAAAGAGCAACAAATTAAATTTAGTAAATTTTTGGATGAAGAATTATTGTTAGATGAAAATGAAGTATTAAATGAAGAAGAGGACAAGAAAGATGTCATATGTGAATATGAAAAATTAAAAGAAAAAAATTGTATATGTGTGTTATGTAAAGAAGGAATGTCAAAAAATAATTTATTAGCATATATATGTTTTGCTTCACATACTAATCTTCTAAAAAAAATAATTAAAAAAAATAAAATTTCATTTCCATGCAAATACCCCTCTTTATATACGTGTGGACATTTTATACATACGAATTGTTTGCATAATACAAAAATATTGAAATATAGAAAATTATTTAGTGTAAAAAATGAACCAACATTGTATGAATTTACATGCCCTTTATGTCGTTGTATAGCCAATTGTTTTATTGTTTATATACCTAAAAGATATATATCAGAAAATGACAATTATAGAACTTATGAATGTAATGAAGAAGAATTTTTAATAGATAATTCGAATAAAAATTTATCTGAACTGATAAAGAATTGTGAATATTCAGAAATTAATAAGAAGAAAAAAAAAAATAAAAAAAATTATTCTACTGTACTAGCAAATTCAGAAAAGTGTGAAGTAAATACCAAGGAATCACTAGTTGATTATAGAACTGATATGCACCATAATAAAAGTATTAACAATAAAAGTGAAATAAATTCCCTTTTTGATAACAAAATTGCAGGGAATTATAATTGTGAAAATAAGAATACATTTATAATGGATGACAAATATTTTGCTAATGATTTATATTATAATAAAATTATAAATAAAGAGGAATTATCAAATTACGAAAATAATAATAGTTTAACAAATAATCTTACTGATATGTCTTATAAAAAAGATATGAAAGAGAAAACAGGAAGTAATATTTTTAATGATAATGATTCTTCCAACAATATAAATGATCTTTTTTATAATAATGAAGAGAAAAGTGACTATTCTCAATGTACTTCTTCAACTTCTTTATCTTCTTCTGATTATTCTGTTGATAGTGATATACCACAACAATTTTATTTTAAATATAATCATAAAAAAAATAAAATGAATAAAAAAAAAAATTTGTTTCAAAGTGATAATAATGATTTGGTTATAAATAATGTGAATAATCACAAAATATATAATTTTTTTGATGAGGATAAAAAAAATGAAGATATTTTTAATTTGAACTTTCATAACTTAATAAATAAATCTTTATTAAAAAACCTCTTGTCCTTTAATAATTATGAACACAATAAAAAAATCATATTACGTGAAATATACTTAAATGAAAATAATATATATGATAAACTGTATAATAAAAAGGAGGAATATTATGAACAGTCCTTAAATAATTTTCACTTCGGAGAAATAGAAAAGGAAACAAAAAATGTTAATATAGATAACGAAAAAGAAGTATCATTAAATTTACAAAAAAAAAAAAAAAAAGGAGGAAGTGAACTTTACTTGTACAAAAATACTTTTAATTATTTAAATAAAGATTTTACCTTTACATATAGAAATTCAAATTTCTTCTATAGATATAAAAATGGATTTTTATCTTATTATGTAAGTGTACCTTTAAAATATATTAAAGAAATAGAATTTTTTATGATACAAAATAAAACGTATAGTTATATAGGAAAAAATAAATATAAGAAATTTTATTTTTCTTCAATAGTAAATAAGAATAATATAGAAAAAGAATCTAACGAATCAAATGAAGTTAATAACGTAATATTAAACTATGAAATTAACAAAATCCTTTTAGATTACATTAAAAATAATTTTAACCATGAAGAAATTAATGCAGAAAATATTATTGAAAAATATAAAATATCAAATAAGAACAAAAGATTAACAAACAATAATAATAGTGAAGTGAATGATGAAAAGGAAAAAGGTGATTTATTTGAAGAATTGAATGAACAAAAAGATAAAAAATTGAAAACAAATTTTGAAACATATATAAATGAAAATAATAAATTGCAGACATCATCCTTAAAATATCCAGAGTGTTATCCTAATAATAATTCAGGAAGTGATGCAAATGACTTCGACAGTGTATATAGCAATTTAAGTAAAAATGGTGAAACTAAGGATAATTTATATAATTATTTTGATAATGATAATAATAAGAAGGAAAGAAGCAATAGTGATGTTATTGATAACTTGGATAATAATAATAATTGTGATAGAAACTATCCACTTATTGATAATATAAAAAACGATAACAACAATGTGGATTCTATTTGTAAATCTTATAATAGCTCCGATAAAATTCATAATAGTTTCATAGATGAATTAAATTCTGTTAGTTTAAAGGAAAAGAAGAAACTAAAATATAGAAAAGATAAAGAAAATGATATTAGTAATAATAATATTAAATTTCAATATCTCTGTAATACGGATGATTTAAAAGATCATAATATATCAATGAAAACATGGTTTTCTGTTGATATATATGAGGGAATTATAAGTACTAATAAAAATATATATGAAATATATAATAAAACAGTACATAAACAAAATTTTGATTCTATTTTTGATATGAAGGCATTAAGGCAATCAATTATACTCTTAGGTGGTATAACTGAGATATCATGGAGAATATTCCATCAAGATCAAACAACTTTTTCCACTATACTTCATCATTCTGAAAGTTACAAGAAATTAATTGATTTTAATTATTCTACAAAAGTAGAAGATAATGATGAAGATGTAGATATAAAGGGCATAAGTGTAAATGATATTCTGAAAATTTACAGAAAATTAGACATATATCCTGATTTTCTTTTTAATAATAGTAATATAGGTTTCATTAATAAAAAGGATTTAAGTTTTATTAATAAAAAAGATTTAATTTTGATGAATAAAAAAGATTCTGGAAGAAATGGAAGGGGAAAAAATAATAAAAGCCCTCATTTAACATCTAGTGAAACCAACAATGAAATTTTTTTAAAAAAAAAAAAACATAATAAAAGTGATATACTAAATATAAAATATTGGAGAAATATAAATACAGCGGTAGAAATGCATAAAATATATTGGATATTATATAATGAAATATTAATTAATATATTTTATAAAAATATAAATTATATATCATGTAATAATATGATAGAAACATTAGTTCGAAACCTTTTTTTATATAAACATGAATTGAATATTGTTAGAGAAGAAAAAATATCGAATTTATTTAATTTACAATTATGGAAAAATATGTACAAAATTTCTTTTTATTATGTTTATCCATATAGATTTACATTTAATAAATATAAAAAATTTTTCGATAAGATAAAACAAATTCATTTTTTAAATAAATTGGCTTTTATTCCATTATCGGTTGATATCTTAAAATTATTTATGAATTTTTTTTTGAATCAATTTTTAACTACTCCAGGTTCTATTCAGCATTTCATCTCTATTTCCCTAATAATTATAAGTTTTCAAATTATGAATGAAATATTTATAAAAGAAATTTCTAAATCTTATGTTCGTTTCATTTTTGAAGAGCATATTTACGATAAAATGAAGAAAAATTTTGATAATATTTTTAAACATATATATATAAGTATTGAAAATTCAAATTACTCAATAAATTTAAAAGAAGATGCAAATAACCTTGATGAAAATATCCCAACAGAAAAAAAACAACACTTACTTACTAATTATCTTAATAATTGTGATAAGAAAAATTTAAATTTTCATGAATCATTTCATATATTTATTTTTGAAAATTTTGTACTAGAAAATAATGATGGAATTTTAAAAACACAAGAGGATAAACAAAATAATGATATATCACTATTAGAAGATTTAACAAAAAATAACCTTTTTGAAAATATAGATAAAACATCTAATGATGTTTTTAATGACGAAGTTAAAGAAAAATTAAATGATGAATACAATAATCCAAAAAATTCATTTAATGATAATATTAATATAATAAATAAAATAAATTCTTTTTCTTTATTTAAAAAAATTCAGAATTTGTCCTATTATTTCAGCAATTCTGAAATAAGTGATTTACGAAATATTATTTCAGAAAATAAGTTTCTTTCGTGTCATAAAAATAATACATCAGATATGGTAAAGAATAGTACAAATATGCAATCCTATGAATTTTGTGAAAAAATACATACTAAAAACAAAAGAATAAATGAGAATATAAATATTGAAGATGAAACCTTAAAAAGAAAAAATAATAAAAAAAAAAAATTATTTGTTATATATGAAACCATGAATAAATTAATAGAGTTAAAAAAATTTAAGAAAGATACACAAAAAATGATGCTCCTTATGTGTGAGGTAAATGATGAATATATGAAATATGTATACTATAATGGCTATTTGCCCATTAATATCTATCTTAGTACAAATTTTTTAAAATATGAGAATTATTTTAACAACTATTATTCGTTTTTATATAATAAAAAAAAGAACGGTAAATGGGGAAGTTTTCATGTTTTGTATTCAGAGAAATTATTAAATAATATGAAAAAAGGAAGCAATAATTTTATTAAAAGTAAAAATGTAATGAAAAGAGATTATAATTTTATTATTAATAATAATGCTTACGTAAATTCTGTATTAGAAAAAAAGGATAAACATAATTCTTTTTCATCCGATTTCATAGATGATGAGAAAGATTTTCATCAAAAGCAAAATAGAATAGATGATAATATAGAATACTCTTCAAATGATATAGTTAATTATGAAGAAAAATATAATTCATCGACAAATTTTAATAACGATTGTTACAAAAACGAAATAAATAAAGATAATAATATGTTGAATTTTTCCAATACATTTTATGAAAAATATATTAATATAAATAAAGGTGACAAACTGAATAATTATAAAGAAAAAGAACAAGACAAAAAGGATAATATAAATAAAAAAGAAAAAATAACCATTATAGGAAAACAAAAAAACATGCCAAAAAATGAGAAAGTATCTAATGAATTAAACCTATTTAAATATAAATTATATAATATTTCCAATGAAGAAATTAACGATTTTTATCTAATGAATGATACATATGATACATTTTTATCCATAATACGTGATGAAAATTTAGAATATAAGAATACAAATATTCTCAATTTGTTAAAATGTAAGTATGAAAGTGTTCCTTTTACAAATCACTTGTTTTATATATATAATTTTTATTCTATTTTGTTTAAATTAAAAGAAATAAAACACATACATGATAAAAAAGAAGAAAGTTTAGATTTATATACAGATGATTTATTACTATCTTCCGTAGATGATAAAATCTATGAAAAAGTTGAAAATATTAATTTTTCTGATGCTAGTTTCAATAGTAATGAATCAATAAGAGTTTCAGAAAAAGAAAATGAGAATCATAATAATGATGAAAATGAAAATTTTTATGAAGGTATGTATTCTTCTTTAGGTATTTTAAATGAAATTTTAGATGTAGGAGAATTAATTAAAGATATGAAAAGAACTAAAAAGTGGAATAAAAAAAGTAATAAAAATAAATATGCGGATCAATTCTTTATAAACATCTTTAATAGAATGTTGCAAAAAATTAAAAGTAAAACTTCTGATGATAAATCAGAAGCAGCATATAATAACAGCAACAATGTTAATAATCAAGTTATGGTGGATAATAAAAAAAAAGATAGAAAAAAAAAAAGTGTCCCTTCTAATTTGTTTGTAGATCCACATGATTTAAAACAAATAGATATTTCAGAAAGTCTTAAGAAAATTAATAATATAAATAAAACGAAAGTAACAAATATAGGAGAGAAAAATAACTCAGAAGAGTTAAAAAATGATGATAATATTAATGAATGTGAATATAATACATATACATCTTCAGAAAATACTCATGAACTTTCTAATTTCTTATCATATTGTGATGAAAATAATTCTTCTAGTGATATGGATAAACCAAGAGCAAAAAAGAAAAATAACTTAGATAATATATTTATGAAAAACTCTTTTAGTAGTTCTGATGATCTTGTATCTAATAAATCTAATAAAAATACGGAGAGATATAAAACAAGCAATTTCAGTTTTTTAAAATTTAAAGATGCAAATAAGATTCAACGTTACCATATGCTATTAAGAAAAAAAGGATTAAGTAGGATTTTTTTTTATAACATAAGAAAATTATATAATTATGTATATAATTTACATGATTTCATTCCTCTTTACCTTATACAAAATATATTGTTACACTTTCAAAGTAGTTATAAAAATGTGAATGACTATTATTATTATGATGAAGATGATAATTTTTCTAAAAGTTCAAATGAAGAAAGTGAATATGAATATACAAAATATTCAAAAGATTTTTTTAATACTGAAAAATGGAAAAAATTATATACTAAATATAAGGATAGGATAAATAATGAATTAAATTATAATGGAAAAAATAAATCAAATTTAAATATATCTGACAAAGAGGATTCATATCGAGAAGCAAACAGTTGTAACAATGATTATATTAATAATAGTGACTATTTTAATACTTGCTATTCTTTTGATAATGAAAAAAATAAAGCATATGTAGATATGAGTACAAAAAAACAAAGAAATAATTCTTTTTCAAACAGTAATTTAAATTATAATGATAATAAAAAAAGTTGTGAAAATTTAAAAAACATAAGTAAGGAAAATGAAGAAAATATTACAAAAAATGAAAACATTTCAAATAAAAAGCTTATAAATAACACATATGAATATAATCAAAATATTAAAAAGGATAATATGTGTAAAGATGGTTTCATCAATATTGAAGAAAAAGGTAATAGCAAATTGTCCTATTCAGTTAATAAAAAAATAAAAACAAAACATAATAATTATAACTCAGATTCATTTATGAGTTGTGTTAGTACAAATGATGAAAATAAAATGAATAAAAATATGGATTATAATAAAAAGTCAAAAAAAGAAAAGGAAAGAAAAAGGAAATATAATAATATAAAAAGAGAAAGAAAGAATATAAATCCTAAAGATTTTCAAAAAGGAGTACAAGATATGCTAAATATTAAGAAAGTATTTTTTATATTTTATAATTATTTAAAAAATAATAATTTTATAGATAAAAAAAATTCCTGTAAAAAGTTATATAAAAAATTTTTAAAAAAGTATTTAAAATCAGCTAATATTTATTTACAATTTGTTGCATATATAATTTTTTCTATATATGAGTATAATTCTTTGGCCAAAAAATATTTGGATTACATTCATCTTTATAGTGATATTAATAAATACAACATATTTTTACATATATTAAATATTGATGATCAGTTTGATAAAATATATGTGTATCAGACATTGCAATTAATATTTCATCCTTATTTTTATTTAATGTATCAATTATATAAATATTTAAAAATAGATGCATCTCCAATATCGTTACATGATTTTTATGAAAATTCAGAACAATTTATTTCATCTAATTCTTTATTTCAACCAAGTCAAAATTATTTTACTTTAATAAAAAAACATTTTAAAAGAAAATGTGTAAGTTGTAACAAATCTCCAAAAAAAATACTTATCTGCTTATACTGTGGTTCAACTATATGCTTACATGAAAGTGATGATGCAACAGGCCCATTATCACAAACAATTAGTAAATGTGTTTATCATACTACTATATGTGGTGGAGATCAATGCTTATATTTATGTTTAAACACATCATCAGTAAAAAAAAAAAAAAAAAAAATACAATATTACTTTTTTTTTTTTTTTATTAATATTAAGGATAATTAAATTTTCTCATATATAATTATTTTATTTTTTTACTTGTATATATATATATATATATATATATATATATATATATATATATATATTTATTTATTTATTTATTTTTCCTATTAGGTATTATTTACAAGTGAAAACAGATTTGATTTCATGAGTGGACCATATGTTGATAAAAACGGTGATGTTGATCATCATTTAAAAAGAGGGAAAAATCTTTATATGTCTCAACATAAATTAAATAAAATATTTGATATTATTATTAATTCTGCAGTTGGTAATTATATAAAAACCATATAAAATATTTTTATTTATCACATTCTTATTTTTTTTTTTTTAAATGTTTATTCACTCCATTAAAATATATATGTGTAAATTTAATATTTTGTTATACATTTATTTTATTTTTTTTTTTTTTCCGTAGATGTTGAAATATATAAACAAACTTTGAAGTCTGAATGATTTCATATAAAGATGATACTTTTTATATATCCATTTTAATTACTAAATTGTTTTTTCTTTTTTATAAATTTTTTTTTTTTCTTTTAAAGGATTGTATTTAAATGCCAAATTAAATTTCTTAGAAATTATGTTTTTTTTTTTTTAATTTTTAAATATTCATGATCGTTAAAAATACTAACAAAAATTAAAGAAACATCATAATTAAACATTTTTTATAACTCATCAATGGAGATCCAAACTAAATAATCAATAAAGAAGCATATTCTTCTTAATAGGAGCTTTATCTATATAAATTATATCCTATATATAATAATTGAAAATTTAAAAGATTTTTATTACCTTAATATTATACATTTATAGAACAATTTTTTTTTTTTTTTCCACTTTTTTTTTTTTTTTTTGGTAAAGAAGATACACAATAGAAATGTATGAAATAATAAAATATATAAAATATAAAATTTCACTAAATATAAATATATTCCAAAAAACTTTTTAGAATTTTACTATATTTTTTAATACTTTTTGCATAAATGAAATATGTATTGTTTTTTTTAAATTGTATTCATATATGAATTTATATTTATTTTATTTTTATTTTTTTTTATATATTTTCTCTAGATAATATATAAACACGCATAAATCTTTTTTTAATATTTATAAAAAACAATGAAGCTTATCTATAGATTTATCAACATTTATTATTAATGTATTTAAAATAAACAAATGTATAAATATATGCAGATTTTATATCCTTTATATTTTTCTAATTTATTTGTAAATTTTATATTTATAAACTAACTTTAAGATAATTTTTAATCTACACATAATTTTTTTTTTTAAAAACAATATAACGTTAAAAGATTTCCAATAATTATATTTTTTAAAATAAAGTTATCATACTTTTTTATGTATTTTTATTTAACTTATTTTTAATTTTTTTCTTTTTTTTTTTTTTTAGTAAAAAAAAATGACTAAATATATATATACCCTGGATGGAGGAAAAATATCTGAACTCGAAAGATTAGGTTTTAATAATTTTGATTTTTTATCATATGATGATAATGAAAGTGATATAACAAAAAATGAAATGAAAAAAATATTAGAAAACATTCATTTAAGTTATTTTCTTGCCGGATGTAACATTATTAACACTAATACATTTCAAGTTAATTTGCATAGTTTAAAAGAGAAAAATATTAGTGTAGAAAAAGGTGAAGACATATTAAATACGTATATAGATATTGCATATAACAGTTTACAAAAATATAATGAGATAAAAAGAAATAGAGAATTTCTGTTGGACTTTTCTAAATGTAAAAATGATTCTATATATGAACATTTAGAAAATTTTAAAAATATTAGAAAAAAATTAAACATTTTACATGAGAATGATATGTTTAACACAAACATTTATTTAGATGAATTAAAATTACAAAATACAAATGTGAAAAAAATAAAAAAATTAGAAAGAAACAAAAATAATTATATTGCTTTTTCTAATGGATGCTATAGTTCTGCCTTTCGAGATTTTAGTGAATATTCAGGCGTTTTTCATAAAAATAAGGAAAATTTAAAAGACAAAGAGTTAGCTAGTCTGAAAAAGAATAACAAGAAAAAATTAGGAAAAATGAAAATCAAGAATAATAATAAATATATTGAAAATTTATTAAAAAAAAATATTAAACCTTATAAAAATTACGATATAAAATTAAAACTATATGGAAATATTCCTTTTAACTCAAAACAAAGTAATATAGAAATGATACCAAGAACTACAAGGAATAATAAAAATAGTTATGTGTTTTCACCAAATGTGAAATTATTTAATTATGGATTAGAATATTATATAGATGTATCAGATGAAGAAATTATATCTAACTGCAAATTTAAGTTAGGTTCTTTTTCTAAAAATTCAGATAAACTAAACTTTTTTTCTTTAACAACTTGTTCTAATATAAGAGAAGTGATAACTTTTTATAATTATATTAAATATTACGGAAGCACCTTTAATAACAATGTAATTATAAACTTTTTCTGCAATAGTTCTAAATATATTGGATGTTCTGATTATTCTTTTTTTGATTTTGTTTCATTATTATTATATTTAGATTCTTATAATAAATATATAAAGGCAATCGGATTAAATTGTGTTAACATAGAATATGTTTATGATTTATTTTTTCCTTTTAAAAAATATGTATGCCAATATAATAATATCAATGTTGATTTATATAAAAGTGAAAATTCTCAAATGAATTCTATAGTTAAAAGTATTATGAATGACTTAAAAAAAAATCGGTATGTTAATGATGTCAATTTTTTTTGCTCTCCAAATAAATCTTTAAAAAATGTATTTTTTGATGATGCTAATAAAAAAGTTGATTTTCAAAACTCATCAAAAAAAAGTAATCACATTTATAATTTTATTGAAGAATGGATGAAAGTAAACATTAATGGTTTTGGTGGTTGTTGCTTTTACAATCCTTATGATATTTCTCTAATCGATTATAAATTAAAACAACTTTCATAATGTTGAATCTTCAACTAACTAATTTTTATCTCAAGATAATTTCTTTCCTACTTATTTTAAATCAAAATGTATTTTTTCTTATTTTAATTTAATTAATATTTCTATAAAAAAAAAAAAAAAAATTAATTGAGAATACTTAAATAAATAAAAGAATAATAATATTATTAATAAAAATACTAAATAAAATATATAATATTTATCTTCGTTATTTAAAAGAAGATATATATATTCATTAAAAATTTTGTTTTTATAAAATATGAATTAAATTTTTTTTTTTTTTTTTTTTAAAAATACATAACGAAAAAAAAAAAAAAAAAAAAATAAAAAAATAAAATAAAATATATTTATTTCTTTATATACATTGTAATGAATTGTTTTTCTTTTTTTTTTAATTTTTTTTTTTTTTTATTGTTCTTCTTCACTATCCGTAATATCGGAATCGGAATCATAGAAATTGTCTTTTGGATTATTATTTTCTTCTTGAATTTTTTGATAAAACTTTTTATATATATTATTTTCTTCTTTAATTTCATAAAGATTAGTTTTATTGTTATATATGTATTCAACTGATTTTTTTAAATTTTTTTTAGCTACTTCTCTCTTTAATGTAAAAATAGGTTTTTCTGTTTTTATTTCTCCTTTATAATTTATAAGCAAATTATCACATTTGTACATATGTCTATATTTATATTTGCAAAACCAAGCACATAAGCATCTATTATATATTTTTATACAATTATCATTACAAATATTACATTCACATATATTAAAATCCTGACTTTCTTTCATCTTATTTATAATTCTATTTTCAATTCTCCTCAAACCAACACATAACAAGAATCTTCCACCATTTCTCCAATCTAAAGGATATCGTGGAATTAAACTTGTAGGAATCTATGAAAATACATAAAAATATTTAAGAATATATATTTTTTTATTAAAAAAAAAAAAAAAAAATTAAAATTTATTAATACTTTTGTTGTAGGATAAACAGGATCATACAAAGATTTACCATGCTGATGATTTCCTAAAAAAGAGATAATTAAAAAAAAAATAACATGTTAAAAATTTGTGTGTTACAATATATATATATATATATATATTTTTAAACCTCTATATCCAATAGGTCTTCTTCCTGTTGGAGCTTTTGGCAATTTCGCTTTTAAAATATCCAACTTTTTAGACATTTTTTAAAAAATTTGATATTTTTCTTTCAATTTCACCTTTTTTTTTGTATCATAAACTTCATAAATTTATTATACAACATAAATATTATTTTAATATCTATATTTTTTTCATTATAAAGTACAAATTAATATAAAAAAAAATAGTTAATCTTTAATTTCTATTCATAAAATTTAGTCTATTCTTATGTTCTGATTTTTATAAAAACAATAGTAAAAACTTTATGTAATAAATTTAAAGAAATAATAATATTTTTTTTTTTTTTTTTTTAAATAATTTAATATTTCATTGTTTTCAATTTTAAAAAGTAATATAAATGGGTGCAATGGTTTTAATAAATCATTTTATAAAAAATTCTTGCAAATAAAAAAAAAAAAAATTAATTCTCTTTTTTTTTTTTTTTTATTGTAAAATTTATAACAAAAATGATATATTTATATATATATATATATATATATATATATATATATATATATATATATATATATATATATATATATATATATATGTAAATAGTTTTTTTCTTTTTCACTTGTAAAAACTTCCTAATTTCTTTTACTTTTTTTTTTTTTTTTTTTTTTCATATTTTTCTTTTTATTATTTCATTATATAAATATTCATAAAATTTCTATTTAATCATTAATATAATTTTTTCAAGACATATTTAAGAAAAAAAAGGTATTAATTCATTTTTCCATTTTTGTACCTTATAAGAATATAAACTTTTTTTTTTAATTTTGTGTATGTAAATTATATTATACTTTAATATAAAATACATAAAAATTTATACCTTTTAAATATTAATTTTTATAAATTTATACTTTTATTTCATTTATGAAATTATTCTCATTATGTAAAATTATAATATTTTTAAAGTATGAGAATTTATCCTAATGCTAAAAATACATATATATAAATATATATAATATTTATTTTTGTGAATTTTTTTCTTTCTATAATTTAAAGAATAATGTAGAAATCTCTATAAAACAACGTGTTAATTTTAATTAAAATATTTGAAATGATTCTACATCAGAAATTATTTTTGTCAAATTATTTGAATTAATTTATTTGTAATATTTTCACAATTTATATTTTTAATTTTTTATTTTATTATATATTTTTTTTTTAATATTATTCAATAAATTACATTGAAAAATTATAATAAAATAGATTAAAAATATGTTATAAAAATATTAGGTATGAAAAAGTTCATAATATTTTACTTTTTTTTTTTTTTTTTTTTTTTTTTTTTTTATGGCAACTAAAAAGAGTGTAATTAAATTTATGAATTTTTTGCTTATTCTATTTTTTTTTTTTAAAAAATTTTTTTTTTTTTTTTTTTTTTTTTTTTTTTAATTTTTTATTTTAAAATAATATTATTAAAAATTTATTTTTTTTTTTTTTTTTTTTGGAATATCATTTTATATAATTAATATGAGTAAAATTGAATGGAATATCAAAGATTTATTTGAAAAAGACAAAAATAATAATGAAAATAAAAAAAAAATAAATAAATGTAATAAAGAGATGTATAATGAAGAAACATACAATAACGAGTCATACTTTTTTAATGAAAATGATTGTGAGAGATATTTGGAAAAAAAAACAAATCAAACTTTAGAAAATAATCATTATTTTATATTTAAAAGAAATAGAAACAGTTTAAATGAAAGTAATACATTAAATAATAGATTAAATAAACAAATAAATCAGAAAGAAGATAATAGATTAATTATGAAACGAAACAATAATTTAGATAAAAATAATGATTCTTATATAGATAGTAATAATGACGGAAATTCTAATAAATCTAGTAGTCTTAATAAAGAAACAAAACCAAGCAGACTTATATGGAAATGTGTAAAAAATGTTTATACTTCCTTTACATCTGCTGTAAAGAAAAATATTTTTATCTACGATAAGAATTTAGAGAGTGATAATATTTCAAAAGAGAAATCAATTTCTAATAACTCTAGATTAATTGACAAAAAACAAAAAAACAAAAAACATAAAGATATTCTGTTTAACGAATCTTCTATATTTTTAAAAAAAAAAAATGATTTTCTATCAGATGAATATATGAATAAAAATGTATCTTATGATAATAAAATAATTAAAGAGAAAAACTTAAAAAATGGGATATTAATTGGAAATAATAAAAATAAAAATGATGAATTAGAAGAAAAAGATAAAAATAAGAAAATAAAAAACTGTTATGATTTCTTAGAAGGAGATATAAAAAACTTATTTGCAAGTTATGATTATGAAAAAGTTGAATATTCAAATGATAATATTAGAATCAGTAAACAAGATATTCAAAGAAAACATAACAATTGCAAAAACAAAAATAAAAACAATATCCATATGCATAATGTTAAACGATATAATAGCAGCTATAATGATTCATCTAATTTGAGCTCGTATGAATATAATTTCAATAAATTTAATAAAGATGATAAGTTGTCACGTGATCATTTAGAATCTAATTTAAAATTCAAAAAAAAAGAAGTTCATAATATAATATCAAATAGTTATAGTAAACATTCGTTACATAATTTGTATAATTCTGATATAAATTCTAACGAATGTTTTTTTCTTCAATCATCAGGAGATGAAAATATAAACAAAAATGAAATTGATTATTTTATTACAGAAAAAAAAAATGAAAGTAATAATAGTGATAGTAATAGTACAAAAAATAATAAAAAGAAAGATTATCATAATATGCATTACAAAGATAATGTATTCAAAATGCATCTTCATGTTAACAATAAAAAATATAGTAGTAATGATAGTGATAGAAGTTTTAGTAATAGTAATGATAAGTGTGTCACAAAGAGAAGAGGTAAGAAAATTAGTAATATTAACGATCAATATTTTACAAAAAAAGAAAACAGAGAAGTAGAAAAGATGATAAAACATGCAAATGAACAAGATGAAAAGAACAAGAATTTCGAAGAATTATATTATGATAATATTTTTAAAAATAAAAATAAAAAAAATTCCTCTACAGAGAAAAATTGTAGTTGGTCAAAAAATTCACGAAATACATTCAGTAATAAAAAATATACAAAAGATGAAGTAATAAATATTACCGATAATGAAGAAGAGTATACATATAATGAATTATATAGTAACGATGATATTTTAGAAAATGAAAATAAATGTCTAAAAAATAAAGGAAAAGATAATGATTACGGAAATATAGAAATTTATAATAGTTTCATTAAAAATAATGAAGAAATTAAAAAAATGAGGAATGAATATAAATCGTTAATACAATTAATAGATACATTTATTGATGAAAGTTTAAATGGAAACTGTTTATCTAATTCTATAATTAACAAACAAAAAACCTATAAAAATGAACAAGAAAAAAAACATATTATAAACAAGGAATTTAATAAAGATGAAGAATCTATGAAAGTTATAGATGGGGTATATGGAGATAATAAAAATAAGTATATTATTTTAAAATATGATGAAGATTCGTTAATTGAAGCATTAGAAAAGTTACGAATTGATAAAGAGAAGAAAAAAGCGGAAGAAAAAGAAGAGGAAGAAAAGAAAAAAAAAATTACAAAAATAGACAAAAGTGTATTTTATAAATGTTATAAAAAGGATCAACATGAAACAGCAATATTTATATTGAGTGAAAAAAATGAAAATAAAGTATTAATTGAAAAATTTAATGTTCCTCTTTTATATTCTCAAATAAAATGTCTAATAGATACAAGATGGTTAAATGATGAAGTTATTAATTTTTATTTAAGTATGTTACAAGAATATAATGAACAACAATTTAAAAATAATTCATCATATTTTCCAAAAATTTTTACTTTTAGTACCTTTTTTTTTCTATCATTAAGTTCAAATGGATGTTACAATTATTGTAAAGTTTCAAGATGGACTAAAAGAAAAAAGGTTGATATTTTTTCATTTGATTTAATTCTTATTCCATTACATATAGGTGGAAATCATTGGACACTAGGAGCTATTAATATAAAAGATAAAAAAATTAAATTATATGATTCTTTAAATATGCCAAATAAAAAATTTTTTGAATACATAAGAAGGTATATCATCGATGAAGCAAAAGATAAAAAGAAAATTGATATCGATATTTCTACATGGAAATACAATAAAGACGGAAATTCTGAAGTAGTTTTAAAAAAAAAAAAAATAATATTGTTAAATAGATATTTATAAAAATATATTTTATATATATATATGAATAAAAAATTACTTTATAAATATTTCTGAAAATAAAATTTTTAATTTTTGTAGATGGGAATACCATATCAAGAAAATGGATATGATTGTGGTGTATTTACATGCATGTTTGCAAAATGTTTAAGTTTTAACAGAGAATTTGATTTTACTCAAAATGATATAAAAGAGATACGATTAAAAATGGTATAACAAAAATAAATATTCATATATATTTAGAGAAAAAAAAATATATATTTAAAATATATTAATTTAAAAATACTATCTTTTATAAATTGCAAAATTATAATTTATTTTATTTTTTTATTTTTTTTTAACTAAAGTATATTTAAATTATTATATTATTTATTTCTTTTTTTTTTTAATTAATAGGTTTATGAAATATCACAAGGTTATTTAACATTCTGATTAATTATTATAATAAGAAATATACAAAATTAATAAAATTAACAAAAGACAATTTTTTTTTTTTATTCCATTTATTTTATTTTTTTTTTTTTTTTATGTTTCAAATTTATATATGTATATACATATAACTATTTTATTTGTTTTTGGCATTTATTTTATTTTTTTTTTTTACCTTTTTAATTTATATACATATATTTATATATATATATAAATGCATTAAAATATTATCTCATTTTTAACTATTTTTCTTTTTTTAATTATTAAAACAACTGCTATTATTTGACACCTATTATATTACATTTTTTTTTTTTTTTTATCATGTTTAAATGTTTTTTTAAATATGTTATTTTATATATATATCTCAAAAAAATAAAAAAGTTTTTTATCTTTTAAAATTTTTTAAAAACATTGAATTTACACAATGTATATATACTTTTAATTGATCAATATAAGAATTCAAAAAAAAGAAAAAAAGAAAGTTTTAATTAGAAACAAAAATATTAAAAATTTTACAAATATAATATATATATTTAATTATAATTTAAAATTAAAATGTTAAAATGGTATTAAAAAAAAAATTTAAATATTTTAATAAAATAAACCCTTATCATTAAATAGCAGGCAAGATAAATGAGCTACTTCACATCCATAATCATAAAGTATATCTTCTTTATTTTTGTTCATAATTTCGTATTCAAACACACATTTTTTTAATTTTCTACCAATATCATCTAATGCCTACATAAAAAAAAAAAAAGAGAAAAATACAGTAAAATTGGAAAAATTAAGAAATTATTTTTTTTTTAAAATATTCACATAATTAAAAGATATTTTATAAAACAATAATTTATATTCACTTATTCATAGGAATAGTATTTACTCTTAAGAATATGATACTAGTTTTTATACATATATATATATATATATATATTTTTTTTTTTTTTTTTTAAACCTTTATTTGTTTATAGGCATTCTCAGGGATATGAACAAAATTTCTTAATTGTGAAACAATGTTTTCAATTGATAATGGTTTTTCAATTTTTAAAACAGCACTATCATTATCATAATGATATGGTAAAATAAAATAAATTAATGGAAATAAATTTTCATTAAAATCTTTTATTATATTATATCGAATATTATATTTTGAAACATCTATACCTACAATATTAATAGATATAGAATTATTTTTAAAAATTTCTGATAAATTAACTAACAAGGATTTCAGATACATATTTAAAAAGATATTATTATTGTAAAAAAAAACAATTGTTTTTACATTATTATCTATAATGTTTATAATATGTTCTGGATTTATATCTTTATAAGAATGGATATTTTTTTTAATTTGAAGGATTTTACACAATTCTTTCTGTCTTTCATTTTTTTTCTTAATATGAGGTATAAATAAACATATTAAAAAATGTGGAAAGAATATCATAAAAGTAAAACATATATAAGGCAAAATTGTTGATATATATTGATAGGTGTATTCTTCTTTAGTTAATCTTCTTCTATCAACAAGAAAAGATGATGGATCTAAGTTATCTTCATATCTTTGTATATTATAATAATATAGAGAGTTAATATTTTTTTTTTCAAGATATTCCTTTTTTTCATTATTCTTCATTTTTTTATTTTTCAGAATTTCTTTTATATTTATAAATATTTCCTTTTTATTTTGTTCTCTATTCAATTTTATATTACTTAAGGATTCTTCATAAAAATAAATATCATAATCGCTTTTAACTTCATTTTTCTCTAAAAAATGTACAAATTCCATTAGTCGATCGAAACTACTTGGATTAAATAAAATCCTATCATACAATAAATTTGAGTTTTTTCTTATAAGAACAAATTTACCTATCTCATTAATAATAATACTATTATTTTGTAAAACTTTTACAAAATCTTCATATTCTTTTAATTGAACTGATTTTACCTGTTTTGAGGGAGTCTTTTCTATATTATTACTACAAATACATTGAAATGAAATATATATATTTTTTCTTTTGTAACTACATTTTAAAATATCTTTTATTTTATGAAAACTTTTATTAAAAATAAGCATCTTCAGATTCTTTCCTTCTTTTTTTATAAATAAATGTAAAGCAATATATTTTTAGTTGATATAGTAGTATATTTATTATGTTGCACTTTTCTATAACATTGAGAAATCATATTTTTTTTTTTTTTTTTTGTTTAATTTATCTATGGATAATAAAAAAATTGGGAATTCTATAATTTTATATTAAAAAAATTACTAACCTGATAAAGGGAAATATATATTTAGGTGTTACAAAGAATGAATACTTAAAATTAAGATTATTATTATTATTAAGTTAAAATAGTAGAAAAAAATAAAAAAAAAATAAAAAAATAAAATTTTAATATATTTATAAATTTTAAAAGAAAATAAGTATACGTTTTTTCTTCATCACGTTTCAGTAAAATATAAATTATAAAAAAAAAAAAAAAATATTTTTTATAGCATATTTGTAAATACTAAATTATAAAAATAATTTAAAAAAAAAAAAGAAAAAAAATTTATAAGAAATTCTTACTTTTTCTTATGAGTTTTTAATTGTTTATATATTTTAGAAATCATATGAATAGTTAACAATAAAGTTGTGTAGAAACGCATGTTTTTTTTAATATAATTTTTTTTTTTTTTTAATTTATATTATTTTGAAAAAATTATAAAATATATGCACAAAAATAAAAATTTTTCTCATTTATTTATATTATTATAAAAGTATATATATATGTAAAAACACAAACATTATTGAAAATATATATATATATTCATATATTTACATATATATATAATATATTCTTATATTTACATATATATATATATATTCATATATTTACATATATATATAATATATTCATATATTTACATATATATATAATATATTCATATATTTACATATATATATATATATTCATATATTTACATATATATATATATATTCATATATTTACATATATATATATATATATTTCTTTTAATATGTTGCACAAGTAGGAATTGTTTCAATAAAATTATTTTTGTTAATTAAAATTATATTATGTTATAAAAATGAAATTCAGTAATTCTATAAATTTAAAAGATATAAAAAAAAAGAAAAAAAAAAAAGAAAAAAATAAACAAAAACAAAAACAAGAAAATGGATATTTTATATATGATAATGAAGAAATAGATAAAAGTAACGAAAAAAAACACAGTATTAAAAAAGTAGAAAATAATGTCCAAATGAATCAAGAAGATTTATTATTATATATATTAGATATGAATAAAAAATATATAGAAGAAAATGAAAGAATGAAAATCAATGATGTAAATTTAAACTCATATATTATTATAGAGGACACATATAATAAAAGAGAAATGAAAACATATTATGAACTTTATAATCTTACAAAATATAAAAATGTTGATAAAAATTATGAAAAAAATAATTTAATCAATTTTTATAATGATCAAAATGTTTGTTATTATTCAAAAAATGATATTAAAGTTCATAAGAATGACTTAAAAAGTATAAACAAGAAGAATAAAAAAGAATATAAAAAAAAAATAGATGTTACTACTTCTGATATATTAAATATAACGAACATAAAGTGGAAGAATGGTTTATCTAAAAATTATTTATTTGAATGTTGTAATAGTATTGATGGAATTGATTTAAACATCCACAATACTGATTTTATTGAAATACAAGATATATTTGATGAAAATAGATTAAACAAAATAAAAAACAAAAGTTTTTGCTTTTATAGAAATTTTAAAATTAAAAGAAAAAAAAAAAGCAAAAATATAATTAATTGTGAAAGTATCAAAAATAAAAAAGAAGACAAAAATAATTGTGAAATAGAAAAAAAAAATTTTAATTATAATATTAAAAATTACAATATAAAAAAAAAGAAAGAGGAATTTTTTTTTTCAGAATTAGAAAATGAAAATGATAAAAAATATAATAATGTAAACAATATTGAAAATGATGAAAGTTATATTAATAAAGAAGAAATTAATTTTTCCGAAAAAATAAATGATTTAATAGATTTAAAGGAAAACAAAAGCTCCATTGAACAGATAAATTCAAAGAGTCATTCTTCAGATGATTTTATTAATTTAGATATTGACAAAGAATTTAATTTTAATGATGAAAGTAAAAGTGATAACATAGAAGAAGGAATAGAAATAGGAGAAAGTGAAAAAGAGAATAAAAAAGAAAATTTAAATATATTAAGTAATATAAAAGAACAGTCGGATAATATTTTTTCTGATTTTTCCTTTGATTGCAATAATTCAGAGGAAGATAATAAAATAAAATCAAGTAAAACAAAAAAAAAAGAGAAATTAGATAATATAAAACATGATAAACTAAAATCAAATGAAGACTTAAGTGAAAAGTATGATTTTAATAATAATGATAGAATTATAGAATTAATAGGTGATGATGATAATGATTTGGAAGAAAATATATTTGATGAAAATTATGCATTTTCAAAAAATAAAAATCAAAACAAAGATTTTGAAAATGAAGACAATAATATAAATTTAAAGGAGAATAATGGTGGCTTTACAAAGATAAATGACTTGTTTAATAATAATTACAGTAACTTGGATGGAAAAGAAATAAAAAAGAAAAATTCTTTATTATATGATTCTAATTACGATGAGAAGAATGATTTAATTGATGATCAAAATAATATAGATAATTTAAATAATATAAATTTGCATTCAAATGATGAAAAAGAAATTATAAAAGATTTTAATTTAGATAAAAGAAGAAATGATTCATTGAATAATATATATTCATATGGAAACTACGCTAACAAAAAAAATGATTTTTATTTCCATGAAGAAAATGATGATAAAAGTAAAAAGGATAAAAATGAATATGATTTTTTTAAGAATATATATACAGATTATAAAAATTACCCTCTTTATAATGAACTTAATTTATTTGGTTATAACATTATAAACAATATATATATTTTTATGTTATTAAATTATAAATATATTCGTAATTACAACTATAATAATTATATATATCCTTTGAATACTGAAGATTATTCAGAATATATTTTTAAAAATAAATATTCTGATAAAAATATTTTATATGATGAAAATATTATAAATGAAATTTTTAGTTTAAATAACAAGAACTCTTTAAGTGAAGATGATAAAAAAAAAAGAAAAAAAAAGACAAAAAATGAGTATGACAATGTAATAATAAATGATGATGAATATAATCATAAAGATGATGAATGTTCTGTTTCCATGTTATCTAATCATAATTTTCATATGATTAATAATAATTCATCTAATTTAATAAATAATGATTTATTTTATATGAATATAAGAAATTATGTAGATAACATTAATGAAAATTATGAAGATAATATTTATTTAGATAATTTTGCAACTATAATGAAAGACCTAAATATAAATAATATAAGAAGAGAAAATAAAAATACAATTTTGCAAAGAATAAACAGAAATTTATTATTTGAATTAAAAAAAAATAATCATATTTCTTATATTTTGAAAAATTTATTTTTAAAAGAAAAATCTATTTCAGATTTATTGTATAAATCGTTAATTTATCGTTATGATGAATATAAATTTTTAAAAAATGAATATAATAAAGATATTTTAAAAGTTAGTGATAATGTTGAAAAAAAAAACACATTTGATATTAACCAATCTTTTATTGAAAAAAGCAGAGCTGATTATGCAAAGGATAATTTGTTTTCTCATAATAAAAAATTAAGACTGAAATGTTTAGAGAACACATTAAGTAAGACAAAGAACATTATGTTTTTTTCTAATTTGAAATTGGACAATTATTATAAAAAAAGAAATCCTCATGAAATTGAAAATATGTTAATTGCAAGTAATAATGTTTATATTCATACAAGAATGACTAATGACTATTATTATAATTATGAACTTTCTAATAAAAGAGGAATAATCGCTTTTTCAAGATTTCATA